CTGTTAGAAGACACACATATATACCTGTTAAAATCCCTAGTCATTGACAGAATTGATGTTTATATACGATTTCTGAACTTTTGAACAACCAAGATTTGTTTTATAAAACAGAGTTGCTGTACACTCAGTTTTGTAGCCCCATTTCTTTAAAAAGTTACTTTATCGTTGGAAAAGCCAAAGTATAGACTAAGTTTAGTTCTTTTTTAAAAGCTTGCTTTTTCTGCAAATATTAAAATGAAGCCACTCTAAACTGTTGAAAAATCTGTGAGGATTTGAGAATCATTTTCATGAAGACATGACTTTGATCAGGAAAAGCCCAGGCATGTCCGGTGGATTTTTTAGGAAATGCTTTCTAACGCGCACCGTAAATACTGGATGTAACAGAATCGCAAGAAGGACCCTAGCTGTGACCATGAGCAAAGCAAAAAATGAGACGGGCTGTGTAGAAGATGCAAAGGATAAGCAGTGGGAGGAAGTGAAACCTCAAGTGCTGCTGATGGTGGATGGCCGGGCGATGGTCACACGAACCTTGACTGCAGGCGGTGGGAAGTGCTGTGGGTTTATGGACACGATTCTGCAGGCGAGATAGCAAAAAGGCAGAGAAAGCAACAGTGTTTTGGGGGTAGACAGCAGCTTTTAACCTTGGAAAAATGTTGCGCTAGCCTCCCGTAATCAGTTCTGAAATTAAGACCCAAGTGCTGCTGTAGGAAGATGAAATAGGGGAATTGGAGGGAAAGTTCAAGGCAAATGCCTCTGCAGACCTCAAAACCGGTGCCTATGGAACAACCTGCTGCAGAGGCTCTGTGTGACGGTTCTTATGGATACTCCTGCGGCTTTTCAAAGGGTGCCTCAACTTAGATTCTTGTCGCCACGCTGCGGATGTTAACTCAAGTGCCCATCTTTACCTCTTAGCCCTGAAATCCGGTATGCTCCTTGTTAAAAGAGCAGCTGATTCTTTTTTAGCTATCTGTTTAAAAAAGTTAGCAGTTACATGGAGTTTCTTTTAAAGAAATGTTTGTATCTCATGTCTAGAGGAGTGGACAGGACAGTAAGTGAAAAGTGTGGATGAAAAGCAGTATGTGAAGCTGTCGGAATGGGAAACGCCTGAGTAGGGACTGACAGCATTTCCTCTGATCACTGCATTATTTTTATCTCTGACGAACAATAACATAGTGTCATTTGTAATGATGCTGTGCTCTTTGCTTACCATATTCTCTTTCTCTTTATATCTACACAAAAAATTTCCTTGACGCTTATTGTGACATGGCAACAGAGAGCTATGCAAATAAACATTTTACACTGAGTGAACTATTTTATTTATGCCTGAATGAACTTCCCTCCTTCAGATTTTTCCCTATGACTACTCTATAAACTAAGAAAGATGTACACTGGCTTATGTTTTGTGTGCACGTTTTGTATTTCAGAGCTTCGGTTTTGTATGGGTTGAATGTTTGTGAAGGTAACTTTGATAATCATGTGGCATTTTGTATTTTGAAATCCATGATTCAGTGGGCGTTGATTGAAAAGTCAAGCGTCGGTGCCCGCTGGCCCTATGAAACTTTACTTTGATATCACTCTCAAACCCCTGGGTCAGATTTCACTAAAACAGTACAATACTTCACTGGAAACAAATACAACTGGCATTGCAGATGAACTGAGCAGTCAGTGAGCAAAAGCTTTTGAAACCAAGACTCCTACATTTGCCCTGAGTGTAGGACTGATCTTATGGAATTTTAAAAGTGGAGTCTGGAACCCAGTGCACACAGCTTTACAGGGATCTAGCATGTATAGGAATGTAAGGTCTTATGGCCTTTGGAGAGTGCAAAAATCTTTCATTTCACAGTATCAAAAAACCATGTGCCTATTGATCCATTTTCTAGTGCTTAAAAACAATTTTTCAACTTTATGCTTCATCTCCAGTGTCTGCCTATACTTGTTTAGAAATAACATAAGGTCAGAAAATCAAATATTTTATTATGTATCGCATACTTAGCTATACTGATATATATAAAGTACTAAATGTTTGGAATTTTTTTCTTTTATTGTGTATTTTTCATGTTTCTTTTGTGAGATTTAAGAGGCTTGTTTTATAAAGATGCAAAAAGTCTCAGGTTGTGTCTACATTACTATTTTAGTTAGATCAGGATCCCACTCCTGAAGTAGTTGCCTCCGCTTGCCAGGCTGTAGTTCGTGTTGCGGAGCAGACTGAGAGGGTGACTGCTTTAGGAAGATGCAGCGCAGGGCTAACCTTTATATAAACCCTTGCTGTGGTCTTGCTCCGGCTGCCTGTTCAGTCCTTGGGGCTGTATTGGAATGAAGGGGGCAGTAACCTCCTCTTGAAGCAGGTCTGGGCTTCAGCACCTACCGTTGGGGCTGTTTGCTAATGTGGACCTGGGTAAGGACCATGGGTTTTGGGCTCCGTAAGGAAAAAATAGCCTAGAAAACAGTGCTTCATGATGAGCCTCAGGATCTTCTCTTTGGTGCCATCACGTGTGTTCTCTCACACGCTGTATTTGTGATTTCCCACAGCATCGAGTAGACTTCTGTGGGATCACCGAGCACCTGCACGTTGGCATTACCGATCCGTTGTTCTTACTGTCACGAACGAACACTAGCCTTGAACTCACCAGCCCAGCCTCACAGCAGGCTTACCTTACGGCTGTTCACTGCTTCGAGCTGCAGACAAAGGTCTGAGTAAAAATGCTTTCCTCCGAGTTCCCACTGGCACTGGGCAAGCTGCAGTCTCTAAAGATAATTCAGCAAGGGGGAAAAGGATTTTTGGCTGACAACTTAGATCACATTACCTTATGTCCTCCACGGTAGCTGTTTGTTCTCTAGAAGCAGAAATATTCAAGAGCAAAAAGGTTAGCACTTAGGTGGCTAAATACCTGATCTTGCAGATACAGCAGGTAATTAAACACTGGCCTTCCTGATGTCTGGGGTGAGCGTGCAAACACCAGCCTCCCTGTGGGTGCGCAGAAATTTCCTACGACCCATTTAGCTACAGAACGAGTCATCCATATATTTAGCAATAAAATAAAATAAATAAAATAATAAAATAAACCAAACCAAACCTGCTTGGTATTTCAGAACAACCAGGATGTAACCCGTGTAGAGCCGAGAATTGGAAAAAATCTCCCATTGGGTGTTTTCACAAATTAATATTAAGCATTAAAGCTGTTTGCTTCGAAGGGGAGACCCTGGCTGAAGGTGCCCCCCAGTGCCTTCAGATGAGTACGGAAACACTGAGATGTTGACACACATAAAGAGGAGACTCTATTCTCTGCCTCTGTGGGATGGTGGTGTCTTGTCAATGCCTATTGATTTTCTGTATAATTCCTTTTCTTTTTAATTCAAGAGAAAACGAGAAAGGGAGCACTGAGTTCCCACGCGGCTTTTAAACCAGTGTCACACTTCACGGCATCGCTGCTGACATCTTACGGACACCCAGGATTTGTTGGCCATAGGTGACAGATGATTTGCAGGGATGGCAGGAGGGCAGTTACCTTCCTCTTATGTTTAGAAGAGAATGTTCAGTCCGGGGATAGGACTGTGCATCTGTCATTATGTGGGGCTTGCTCAACAGCAGGATGGGAGATGAAATGAAAGGGATGTGGGAAGTCGAGACCTGCCTTGTGGGAATGCTCGTGGCCTTGGATTATTGTTATAGTCAGTTAAGATTATGATTTTTATCGGGATTGTTACAAAAGTGCAAGTCTTAATATGGATCCAGACCAATGTGGCTGGCTTTCCTCCTTACAGCGATAGGGTGTGTAAGGTGCCGGCCCGCTGAAACAGTTGTGTCTGCAGGTGGGACACCTGTACTGCTTTAACTGTTGGCTGTGATCAGCTTTTCTGTCCTAGAGAGGAAGGTAAAAGTGAGATGCAGTACCGGGGGTTACAATCTGCTTTAGCTTCCCCAGCAGTGTTTTAGTTGTTGCTGGTTTACTTGAGCCTGAATATGCGCTGAGCTCTTGTTTTAGGTTGTACACTGTTCTTCAAAGAACTGGCTTTAAAGATTAATTAGGGCAGGGGGGTAGTGAGAGTGTGTGCCTGCAAGGGAAAATGTGACTGTGAACCTAGCATTAACGCACTGACCTGAATGGAGGGGGAGAGGAAGGAAGGAGAGGTTTAAAAAGCATTCATAGTGGGTTCTGTGACGAGTGAGTATGATTACTCTCCTCTGAGGGAGGAATATAATGTTGTATGTGTGCTTGCTGTACTATGGAATGACATCATGGGATTAGCAGTCAGGTTGCAGTCGTGTAAATGCTAACAGCTGTATCATCTCATCTGATTTAGCATGGATGCACATCCTGAGAGAAGGATTATCTTTCTAAATAGTATTGGAGAAGAAAGACTTGTGTGGTGATTTGCCGTCGCTGATAACACACGTCGGCTCTCTTAGACTGCTGTCACAGGCCTGCTTGAACAAGGAGGTGCTTTACGGAGGGTCACAGTAGCCGTGTGTCTGCCATGGAGCTGGGACTGCACAAGTCATCAGCCTCACGTGAGACAGGGATGTGGATCAGGCTGAGCTCCCTGTTAGACTGGCATAAGCAAAATGAACTGGGGAGATACAGGCATGACTAACTCCAGCTGCAGTTCTCATCATTTGGACTGGAATTTTGTCCTACGTCTTCCCAAGCAGCCTTTTCTCTGAAACACACAGAAATAAGATGTCACTACAGTAATTATGTTTTTCTTGTATCTATTCTTGGGGTTGGGAAGAAAAGATGACAAATCTGAAAAAGTTGAAATGGTAAATAATTATTTTGAAATATTTCCTTCATCTGTGGATTGAGACAAGAAGCAATTTCTTTCCTTTGCAGCAGCAAAGAGCTTTCAGCCTGTGTTCCTAACCTTCAGTTCTCCCCGTGAAATACTGTGTGTGAGAAGGAATCACCTTTTTGCTGCATAGCCCAGATGATTGCATGGGAAACGGTTTGGTTTATGGCATAATGTTTTCGTTTAATACCTTTTTTATTCCAACAGGAAATATGGGATGTATAAAATCAAAAAGGAAAGAGAATCTGCATGGAGATGGGCTAGATTTGAAGAATCAACCAGTACGTAAAACTGAACGAACTATTTATGTGAGGGATCCAACGTCCAATAAACAGCAAAGGCCAGTAAGTAGATAGTCTCAGGGGAGAATTCCAGTAGCAAGATCAAAGCATGACTGGCATAACTTAAATTTCAATCCAAAGCACATGCGTGAAGGAATTCGAATGACCATTAGTCCACAATTGAGCTTTTAGTGTTGTGTGGGTCACCCTCAACGAATGTGTACTTAAAGAAACGAAAAATGAAAATTGGTAATTTGTTACTCAGTTACTTTCTTTGTCAGTTTTCCACGTGAAAACATTAATCCTTGTCAACGCTTGATCTAGACCTAGCGATGTCTGTAGGAGTATGCTAGGTGACTTCAGAAAACCTGAAGTAGTTCAGAACCGTTTTTAAAAGCGTCGGTGTTGGGTTTTTAATAGCTATGGGATCCAGGTGTGGATTATTCTGTTTAATAAGGCTGAGGTAATCACAGGCAACTCTTTATCAGCTCTGCTTGACCTTGCAAGAGGTGGGTAGGTAAGGATGGGAGAGGAGCAAAGGGAGCTGTGTGGCGGGAGGAACAACCTAATGGCAGTTCTGTGCGTGCTGCCTGGCATTACAAAGGGGGAATCTCGTCGGGTACCAAGCAGGTTTGCTGTTTTGCAGATTGGCTGGTACCCTTTTTTCCCCACACCCCCCCCAGCTGTGCTGAGGAAGCCCTATTTCCTGACTGCCCTTCTTCATGGGCTGTCCTCTGCCTGGGTGTGAAAAACACCCTTCTCCCCCCTCTCACCAGCTGACACTGTGGACTCGGCATGCTCTCAGTCAGCGTACACACATCACAAACTACCGTTTGGGGTTTTTTCTTTTTAATTACTCTTTTTTTCTTGCACAATCTTAGCGACATAATCTGCTTGTAGTTCTTGAGCATGACAGCTGCATGTCAATAACTGCCCTGTTAAAGTGCCCTGCCTGAAGCCTCTTCAGCAAAAAGTCACGAAGCTGCGAAATTCCTCCCCGCAGCTTGCGTCACACCTTCCTGAGCTGCTCAGTTCAAAATCTAATGGTGACTTACTGTGGTTTTGTGTTGTAATTTGCTTTTTAAGACCGTGGGGAAAAGATTGGAGCATTTCCTTTCAATTTAAGACCTATAAGATGATACTGAAGCAACTGAATAATACACTATTGTAACGTAAGATTGTCACAAAGATCTAAAACTGCTTAATTAAAGACCTGTTTTATTGTAGGCAAATCCAGAAGCACAGCTCTTACCCGGACAGAGGTTTGCCAGTGAAGGTATGTTTTCGTAGGAATTGTAATGCTGCGTGCTGTGCCCACGTCAGCCTACGAAATAATGCGAACGTGCCTTTGGCTTTCCACCTTTGTAGATACAGAGGAGCATGGAGTCATTGTGGTAGCTTTGTATCCCTATGATGGCATTCATGAAGATGACTTGTCCTTCAAAAAAGGAGAAAAATTGAAAGTCATTGAGGAGTAAGTATGACAGTGCTGATTGTATTGTAGTTTTTGTTTGGACTCGTCTAATTCCCTTTATCATTTTTTGATATCCTGCTCATAACATGAATGCATTAATGGTCAGAGAGCTCTCTTACGTGTGAAAATACAAATGGCATGTGGAGCTGTTGGTAGGACTTGGCAGCTGCCCTTGGTAAGAGTAACCAAACGTTGATCTGACGGAGCCAGTGGCTTGAGTTCAGAGGAAAGATGCTGCTGCTCCCTCCAGCATGGGTAAAGCTCTCAGCACAGCAGAACCCAAATAACACTTTATAATTTTCCTTTCCTGTGAATACTACTGTTGTTTCTGTTTTTCAGGCTGGGAGAATGGTGGAGAGCAAAATCCCTTACGACGAGGAAGGAAGGCTTCATTCCCAGCAATTACGTAGCAAAAGTAAACACCTTGGAAACAGAAGAGTAAGTTCTCTCAGGCTCTAAGTAGTGGCAAGCTGGTTCTTCACCCTGATGGTGTATCGTTTGTGGGTGGGGGCAAGAAAGGGTTCTAACTCTGAAATATTTTTCAGATGGTTCTTCAAAGACATAACCCGAAAAGATGCCGAAAGACAACTCCTGGCTCCTGGAAATAGTCCTGGAGCTTTCCTTATCAGGGAAAGTGAAACGTTAAAAGGTAGGCTTTGGGGTGGGTTACTTTGGAATTGATAGTAGAGTTAAAAAACGTACAGTCTGTCTTCACAAAAGTTGGCACCAAGTGGCACTGGGAGTAGTCCTCATCTGTCCTATTGTGTGAATTTTCTACAGTTCTGTAGAAGTGAGAAGAATGAGAAAATCACCAGGAAAAGAGAGAAGAGAGTTACAGGTTAACACCCAAAGTTGAGATAGGGAAAAAAAAAAAGTGTGTGTGATTACAGTGACAAGAAGCAGCAATGGAGAGATCTTTTTCCTTCCTGACGTTTGTAATCCCTTTATTGAAGGACTCTTCTCCTTGTAAACAGTAGATGCTGCATTTTATAGTCTTCTGTTACTGGGTCTGTATCCATTGCTACCAGTTTTAAAATGTAGTTAGTGCATAGTAGAGGTTTACACTTCTGCACTGTAGCGTGATTTTTTTTTCCAAAGGCTTTTTGGGAAAGGTTTCTGCTGTAGACAGAGCTTTTTGTACTGAAAAGCTTAGCGAAGTCTCCAGACTCTTTCTCTGGGACATTCAGAAAAGTGTAGGAGGTTCTGCCCCGGTGTCTGGACGCTGACAGCACCCTGACTGGATTCTCCAGCTGGGAGCTCTAACACTGCATCCTCCAGAGCGAGGTGCATATATCCCTTCAGCAGATTATGTCTCTCCTCTCCACAGAGGTGGTGTTTCTAGCCCTAATACTGCAGATTCTTGCTTCGGTAGGTCTCTGTAATGGGCTCATATCACTGTTTCTGTGCTCTCAGATGAAAACAGAGGTCTAAATTCAACATAGGCTGCTGGGAGTAAGGCAAAGTACCCCCAGAATCTTTCTGTCACTGTGTCACTTTCTGTCCTGTGTGGGAAGAGAGAGAAAGGGCTGAAGCAGTTTCTCGGCCTTGAAGGTGGGCAAGAGTTGTATGAGTGGAAGAAATTAAGAGCTCTGCAGTTTAGGGTAGATGCCCTGCTGCTCCATCTTAAATCCCAGCTGAGGTTAGGCTCCCTAGGACTAACAGGGCTGCTCTCCCTCCCGTTGGCCTCAAGCCATCCCCAAGCTATCCTTTTGGTAGTTGGCCCATGACACCCAGCGTGTTCTTTTTCCGAAATGGTGATCTCCAAATTTCAGCTTCTGCCTGAGGAGTGTGGCAGCCCGGGCCTTCCTTTGTCAGCTGGTTCCACTGGAGCCGGGGGGGATGACTTTCTGCAGAAGTGGGTGTTGGATGTGGAGCTGTCTGGCTTATGGAACTCCTAACTCTGTTGAATAAGATTGAAAAAGCAAGTGTGACTGTAAGCATTTTGGTGATCAGTTCAGGGCCGGCTATTGGCTAACTTCCTCATGTTGATTGCAAAATGCTTTTTGAGGAAATAAGGGAGTAAAAAAGAAAAACAGGCAAAAAGGTGATGTTGTTAGCCTCAGCTGTGTGTGCTTGGGCACTGTAGACTTTTGCTGTCCGTTAATGGCCATTCTTCCTTTGTCCACAGGCAGCTATTCTCTCTCCATAAGAGACTATGATCCACAGCACGGCGATGTTATTAAGCACTACAAAATTAGGAGCCTGGACAATGGAGGATTTTACATCTCTCCAAGAATAACTTTTCCCAACATCAATGATATGATCAAACATTATCAAAGTAAGTTAAGTTGGTTAGTGGATTACTTAATAGAGTACAGACATTATTTCCTGTGAAGGAAAATAAATATTTTCTTGTTTTGTTTCAAACCTTTTCTTCTTCTTTTTTTTTTTTTTCATTTTCCCCTAAGTAACCCGGGCATGCATGTTATCGAAGATAAAGTAAAACTGGTTGGAATGCAAGTAGCATTGTTATCATAATCAGACCTAATGCTGCTTGCTCTGTGGCATACCATTGTGAAATAAAGAATAGCTTTATAAAACATCTCATCAGACTTATGATGATGTGAGACTACAGTAAGAATTGGCTGCATTGTAAATAAATAAATTCTGTATTTGAGAGTACGTTTGTATTTACAGTTAGCAGAAATGCGTATAGACTTGTGAATGTCGTCTTGTGCTGCTGAGTGTGGCATTGGTTTTATTTTTCCTATAAAATTATTTGTTGGTTGGTTGGTTTACTGTGAATGGCATTTGGAAGGAAGTAGAAAGTCAAAGAAAGAAATTGTGCCCACATAGAATATATACATTTATTATATAAAAAAAAAAGTGGTGTGGGGGGAGAAGGGACAAGCTTCTACGTAACTTTTATCTACAAAAGCGACTTTTCATTCTGCATAACCTCCTGGTGGGTAGCTCCAAAATATGTGGGTTTTAGCCTTGTAACTGGGAGGGCAGAGAAGACAAAAAATGTGGGCCAGAAAATCACATGGAAAGCCACGCCGAGAACTTGGCCATGAGATTTTTCTGAGTTGTTAGACCTGTTGTGGTCACTCTTTAGCACAGCTGGAGAACCTGAGTATTATTCTATATTTGCATTAAAGTTGTAGCTGGCCAGTGCCTGAAGAAAAAAAATAATGGTGACCTACTTATGCTTGTCTGCACATGTGTCTGAAACAATGCCACACGAAAATTTAATGACAAATTCAGAATACAAGTTCCAAGCCTGACACCAGTGTGCATCTTCATCAACATACTGTCATTAAATAGAGCTTATGTTTTATTTAGTTGGCACAAATTGTACTAAAAATACCTTAATAATCTGAAGGTAACCAGACGCATGTAACACTTCTTTACTAAATTTGTGTCTCAATAGCAATTTCAGTTCAGAGGGGCTTAAAGTTATGTGAAAGCACCAGAAAGGTTACATTTTCATGAAAACATTTGATTATTTTGAATATTATTTTGAGCTGGTTAGTACATACCTGTAACTAAGTAATGTTTGTCTCAAGGCATGAGGCACAGAAGTGTCACAGATTTTGTATTTTGTTTTTCTCTTTGAAAACCAGAGCAATCTGATGGATTGTGCCGAAAGTTGGAAAAAGCTTGTATTAGTCCCAAGCCTCAAAAACCATGGGATAAAGATGCGTGGGAGATTCCACGGGAATCAATTAAATTGGTGAAGAAACTTGGAGCTGGTCAGTTTGGAGAAGTCTGGATGGGTAAGTCTGTTTCTTTGGAAAGAGTATTTAAATCTGCTGAAAGGAGTGTCATTTCAGAGTCATTCAGAATAATAGTGGCCCAGAACCTGGTCTGGTAGACTTGTACAACAGCGCAGTCAGGCCCAGGATACACCTTCTCGCGAGGAGAGAGGACTTGTGAGGGAGAAGTTATCTGATATCATGAAACAAATTCTCTGGTGTCTTTTAAAGGAAAAAAAAAATAGTGAGTAAGCACTGTAATTTAGAGGGTTGAAGAATTTACAGGGGTTTATTTGGTTGTGTTTTGTGGGGAAAGTGGAAGGTTGTAGTAAGATGTGACTCCTGATTCTCAAAATCGGTAGGCATCTCAGAACTTTGTTTCAAATCAGAAAGTGCTAAAGAACCTGAAATAGAAAGGAATCATGTCTTTAGTGAATTATGTACAGAGTTTTCATTGTCATTTCGTAAAGAAGAGGCTGCAGTATAATGTGTGGGGCTACCGTACCATGTGTGAGATGGGTGCAGTTAAACCCAGATTATTGCCTACCAGATTGCTGCTGAGAGGGTGGGTGATTTATGTAGTGAGATTAGAGACTGATCACCCCCCACCTTGAACTATGATGCAGGTCCTCAGTTACAAAAGTGTCATAAGACTTGCAAGCTGTAAATGTTAAAAAATGCGAAAAAAAAAACCAGCAAAAAATGGTAGCATTAATTAGTATAACCGTAATTAGCTTTTTTTGCTTATAAACACTCTTT